CCCAGAGGCTGAAGTTCAGGCTGAATCTCTACGAGCTGAAGGAGGGAAGGCAGATCAAGCCCCAGACTTTTATGAGCATGGTTTCCAACCTGCTCTACGAGAGACGGTAACTCCCAGGCGGATCCTCTGCCCCCTGTCAGGGAAGGGTGAGGTCCCTGGAGCTGGTTTTGGAGTTCCTGTGACAGCTGCTCGTGGTGTGGCCAGAGGAGGCTGGATAATTTAGTGATGTTCGTCCTGTTTACCTTGCCAAAACCATTGCAGGGTGCTTCCAGTTTGCCCTGGAAGGTTCTCCCACCAAAAGCAGCTGTGGGATGTTTTCCTTGTCTGGGTATTTACGTGGGAGGTGGGATTGTGTTGATGGGGAGACCTCAGGGCTGCCACGGCTTCCTCCCGAGGGGCAGCCCTGACCTCTGCTCTGTGAGCAGTGACAGCACCCAGGGAAGGGCTGGAGCTGTGTCAGGGAGGGTTGGAGTGGATCTCAGGGAAAGGTTCTTCCCCCAGAGGGTGGTTGGGCTGCCAGAGCTCCAGGAGCGTTTGGACAACGCTCTGAGGGACAGGGTGGGATTGTTGGGGTGTCCTGGGCAGGGCCGGGAGCTGGATGGATGGTCCTTGGGGGGTCCCTGCCGGCTCTGAGCCGTCTGTTCCCCCCAGGTTTGGCCCCTATTACACAGAGCCCGTGATTGCTGGGCTGGACCCCGTGACACACGAGCCCTTCATCTGCTCCCTGGACCTCATCGGCTGCCCCATGGTCACCGACGACTTCGTGGTCAGCGGCACCTGCTCCGAGCAGATGTACGGGATGTGCGAGTCCCTCTGGGAGCCAGACATGGTGAGCCAGGGCTGGGATCCGCTGGGATTCATGGATTCACCCTCCTGTGTTCACCGGGCAGCCGGGATACGTGGGCTGCGTGGGAAGCTCCGTCCTGCGGCGCTTCCCGAGGGAGCTCGGGAGAGGAGGCCGGGGGTTAAACGGCCTGAGGGAAAAGTCTTGCAGGGTCTTGGATGAAAACTGGGGGTTTGGACCAAATCCCATGCAGCTTTTAGCCCAATTTCTGCTGCTTCTGTTCCCCAGGAGCCCGACCACCTCTTCGAGACGATCTCCCAGGCCATGCTGAACGCCGTGGACAGAGATGCCATATCTGGGATGGGGGTGGTGGTTCACATCATGTGAGTGCTGCTCCCTTCCCTGTGGAACAGGGGGAGAACTGAACAAGCTCTGCACTCGGTTCACTGCAGGGATTGGTTTCCAGGGTATCCCTAACCCTGCTCCCTTCCACCGGTGTCTTTAGAAATGCTTTGTTCATTCTCAGTGTGTTTATTTGAGTGCCTGTTGCTTGAACTGCAGGAGAAGTGAAGCCTGGAGTCAGATTCTTGCTGCCCAGGGATTCCCTGGCTGCATTCCCACTGGGATGTGGGAGCATGGCCCCTCACACACGGGTAGCAGTGGCCAAGAGGACGCTCTTTGCCTCAGCTGGGTGCAGTGTTAACTCCCAGCTCTGCAACTAAACTGGCTCCTGAAGCAGCTTAGTTTTACTTCCCTGCACAATTCCAAACCCGGGAGCTCCCCTGGGAGGGAGGAGGAGGGGGTTTGCTCAGTTGTCACAGCCACCTTGAGTTCAGGTGACCCAGCCTGCCTGTGCACCTGCAGCTTCCTAAGGGAGGGACAGGCTGTATGTGGGGACTAAATGTGGATTTATTAACAGTCTTCTCTCTTTCCCCCTCTAGAGAGAAAGACAAGATCACCACGAGGACCCTGAAGGCTCGCATGGACTAGCCCAGCAGAGCTGCTCCTGTGTCACACCCGTCCTGGGACTTTTTTAAAATAAACCTCTGCCTTGGAGTGAACTTGCCTTTGCTTGGTCTGAACACGAGGATCGAGTTCTCCTCCCTAAAGCCGCGAGGAGCAGCTCAGGTTTTAGGTGGGAGCAGAGTTTACCTTTCCCTCTGAGCCACCTGCACTGATCCCCTCAGAGCACCTGGATGTGAAGGGGCTGAGCTGAGGCTCGTGGAGTGGGACAAATCCGTTTGTTCTGGGAGCCAGGACTTGGTAAAATCAGTTCTTACTTAAGCCCCCCATTTTACAGGCACTGTAAAAAGGCTTCTCCAGTTGTGGTCCAAAGAATCATGGGATGGGTTGGGTTGGAAGGGACCTTAAAGCCCACCCAGTGCCACCCCCTGCCATGGGCAGGGACACCTTCCACCAGCCCAGGTTGCTCCAAGCCCCGTCCAACCTGGCCTTGGACACTTCCAGGGATCCAGAGGCAGCCCCAGCTTCTCTGGGCAACCTGTGCCAGGGCCTGCCCACCCTCCCAAGGAGGAATTCCTTCCCTCTGGCAGTTTAAAGCACCCCCCTCGTGCTGCCCTGTCTGGGACACCTCCCTGGCTGATGGCAGCTGAGCAGGACCCTGGCAAAGAGCACAGCAGGAAGGCACAGATGTACACAAAGGTTTAATTTTATTTTTCTCTGGTTGGAGACTCATCTTGTAACATGCATGCATTTCAAAACAGTAACAGTGTCTCAAACTGCTCCTAGCAAACAGACAAGCACAGAGGACTTTAAATTCCTATTTAAAAAACAGCAGTGAAAAAACCTAGAATGTTTATTTTTTTATTATTTTTTTTTTTTTTTTAGTTTTTAAACTTAATTTATTCACATTTGTTTTCTTTTCAGTTGCACTGATTAGCCCTGCCCAACCCTTGTGACCTGTGTGTAATCCACTCAACACGACTCCATCCAGCTGGTTTTTTTTTTTTTTGGGGGGGGGTGTGCAGCCAGAGAGCAGCACAACTTTTGGAGTGGTAAGCACTGAAACCACCCCAAAATGACGACCAGCAGTTGGCTCTGAGCTTTTCCAAATCCAAAAGAGCAAGGAAAAGGGGCAGTGGCTGATGGGGACAGTGAGAATGGCTCTGCAGAGGTGGGGGGGCAGTCCAGGGCTGTTGGGGCACCACACGAGCTCTGACCTCGGCGAGGGTGGGAACACCCCGGGATGGGAGACTTCCTGCAGCTCAGGGAGGCTTGGAAAAGACTGCACAGTAGTCACAGGACTGGGAGCATCCACCACCACGGCCCCCAACCACCACACCCCCTCACTTCCCCCTCGGTGGGCTCAGATCCGCTCCCCACCCGCTGCCCCCGGGAAGGCAGCGCTCTGCAAAGCTGGGATTTCTTCCCCCCCCCCCAAAAAAAAAGGAAGTAAGACTCAAGTGGTTTAGTTTTCTCGCTGATCATGCTAATCTGATTCCAAGCCAGGATGCAGGAGCACAGCCTCCTTTTTTCAGGCATCCCGAGTCACCTCCTGCCTCCCCCCTCCGGGGATGAATTTCGTGATTTGTGGCTTTTTAGAATTAAACCCGGGTCAGGCAGAGAGAGCAGAGGGAAGGATCCCACCCTGCCACGAGGAGTGAACTCCTGCTGGTATTCCCACAGCAAATTCCAAACCCCCTTCCCAGTGCTGGCACCAAGGGTGGGAGCTCCTGGGCCCCCTGGATCCTTGAAGGGTGACCCAACACGCTCCCCAGTGGGTTTTATTGCACTACTGGAGCAAAGCTGTGGCTCTGCCCTTCCCTCTCCCACTCCTGGTTACACTGGAGGAGCTGAACCGACAGGGAAGGTGGAAATTCAAACTTCAAAGCAGGTTTTAGTTGCTAAATTTTGACTGATCAGAAAGGGAGACCCTGTGGAGTGTGGATCCCTGCACAGCTCACCCTTCAGAGGTGCTGCACACACTGATTATTTTTAACTCCAGCTGACCAAACTGCACTGGTTTTTGTTTTTTGTTGGAAAATCCTGCATTCTGATCCAAATCTGAGCAACCTGCCCACCTACTGCAAGTCTGGCAGCCGAGGGGGGGGGTCAGTCAAATGCACTTCAGTGTAAAGTGTTCTGCAGGGTACATGCTACAGACAGAAATATCTACATTCAGCAAACTAGAACTAAATTCACACCAGGAACAGACAACAAACTAGCACGAGCAGTTGTAAAACCAGAATTGAAAGGGCTGGGTTGTCCTTTTTTTTTTTTTTTTAAAATACTCGAGTTAAAAAAAGTGACCTAAAACAAGATAAAAACAAAAAAAAACAAAAAAACCAAACCAAAACCAAAACAACAACAGCAACAACAACAACAAAAAAAAAAAACAAACGAAAGAAAAAAGTCCCTTTTAAAAACAAATCAAATATTTGCAGCTTCACTTCTTATTCTGGTAATAAAAATACTGTCTAGAAACAAAAAATTAGCATTTTTAACGTAATGCTACCTCTCAAAATGTAAACAATATACAAAATGCTTATGTTAAACAAAGTTACATACCTGGGTAATACATCATTAAGTGAGAAAATTGCATTTAATTACTTTAATACACACAATATGGCAACTTGACAGAAGTGGCAGAATTGGGGAAGTGCTAAAGTGAATAGAGTTTGTGGGGCTTCTCTGATCACTTGAGCCAGAAACAGCCAATTTAATCCTTGCAGGAGTTTGGAGTGGAATAAGAAAATACAGTTAACTGCTCTCCAGCCCTTTTTATCAGGACTTCTGTAAAGACTGCTGCAGGAATTAACTGTATTTTAATTTTACTCCTGTTTAGGAAATGGGGTGAAGGAGATTTTTGCTCCCAGTTCCACTCGATTTTCTTTGGGTTGTTTGTTTTCTGGGGGTCTGCAGTTCACCCATTCCCTTCTCTCTTCCCCCACCCCCCCTTTTTTTTTTTTTCTCTTTTATATATATATATTTTTTTAAATAGATGATTTAAAGACAAACAGTTCCAAAGCTGGTTTTCCCCGAAAGGAGAAGGGCAAACTTACCAGGCCAAAGTTGCAGATATTCAATGCAGACTTTTTTAAAACTGTCAGGAATAAAAAGTTGATCGGTGTTTTAATTTCTAACTGGTAGTAAACTTAAGTGCTTATTGTTTAAGAGAGAAAGCAACCAATCTAATGCCCACAAAAGGAAGCTGATGGTGCCCCTGAAGCCCTCCCTTTTTTATTTATTTATTTTATTTTTTTTAAAAGGATTCTCAACAGCTGCACGATTTGGGTTGTGGCTTTTCCAGCTACACACCTTAAGACACTTTTCAGCCTCCCAGACAAGGGTGTGTTCACACCCCCAGGGCAGGGAAAGGACTCCAGGGGGGGGGCACCAGGAATTTGTCCCCACGTCAAAGGGAATGACCGAAAAAAAAAATATTGATACCCCCCTGCCACAAGCCCTGATTTTTGATTTCTTAAAGGACTCTATTTACAGTGCACTCTTGTTGGGCTTATTTTTAGCCCCCCCTCTTTTCTTTGTCCCATTTCCAAGCTGAGACCCTGCGGGATTCACGTCACGAAATGTGGGGATGGAACACGAAACTCCAAAAAAAAAAAAAAAAAACCAAAAAAACCCCCAAAAAAACCCCCAAAAGCCCAAGCCCACATTGAGAATCCAGCGTTAAAAGTCAGGGGGAAATTACCAGGATGTGATGAGCACCAAGTTATCTCTCGAAAGGACCCAATTCCACACAGCAAAAACTGTAGCACGTGTTACAGCACAGGACAGACATCCCAGCCAAGCTTATTCCCGAAACAAAGGCATATGTGAAAAACAGTTCCAAGGCAGAGAAAAGCGACAAATGTTTCAAACCGCGAGAGGTTTGTTTTTTTTTTTTTTGTTCGAAAACGCTCGAATCCTGCTCGGAAAAAAAAGGAAAATGAAAACCAAAAAGAACCAAAAGGGGGGGGGGGGTGTCTGTAACTTGTGCAGCAGAGCTAACGAAACCCAAAGCGAGCCCGACAAGCTTGGCTGTGAAAAGTATTACAAGCATTCTGGAGACAAAACAGGACGTTTTTCAGTCACTCCAATCGGTTCCAAATCCTCGGGGGGGGGATGGAAAAATAATCTGGCGCAAAGTGTTCAAACATTTCCACTCCTCGACTGTCGCTCTAGAGAGGGGGTTTTTTTGGAGCAGAGGAAGAGTAAAACCAACCACAGCTCAAGTCCTGAGTCCTCCTGAGCAGTGGAATTTGCTCCACAGTCACAGCTCCCAGCACTCCCCACTGGCAGCGAGTCCAATTCCTTCGTGTGCAAGTCACATTGCCATTGGAAAAAAAAAGAAACCAACTAAGCCAAGAACCTCTGTCAGGAAACAAATTCAAGTACCTGTTGCAGATGGGGTGAGTAAGGAAGACTGAACATTAGCTAGATTAACACTGGCAAGGACTGTGATGGTCAGCTGTGGCCTAAGAGACGCGGCAATTCCTGACCGAGGCGCGACAGGGAAACGTCCCAAGAGTCAAATGTTATCCCGTATCTACAGGTACAAAATGCCTTTCTTCTTTTCTTTTTCTGGTTTTCTTTTAGGAAATCTTCAGAGCTGGCCAATTGAAAGCACAATGGGTCCGAGCACATCATTAAGCTGAGGTTGGTCAATGCCACTACTACTTCTCACACTGGTGGGTTTTTGTTTTAGGTTCTAGGAGTTACACCTTTTTTTTTTTTTAAGAGATCATCTTTGGTAGATGTTCCATTTCCCTCGTCCTTCTTGTAAATCAAGTGCAGTTACAAAAAAAGTTTGTTTTTTTTTTTTGTTACTTAAATTAACCAAAAAATATAAAGTGTCCCAGTCTGAATTTACCTAAAGTTCAGCGACTCCTCCTTATCAGAGTTATAGTTTCCGTCCTTGAAATGGTGAGCTATTTTCCTTCCAATTCCTACCAAGAGGGAAATAAAAGGGATTGTATGTCTTTCTGGTAAAGACAGTCCAATAAAATAAAAATAAAAAAAAAAAAAAAGGAGTAGTTTGTGGAATCAGGCACTGCTTCACTCCCACTGAACATGATCTAGAGCCACCCCTTTATACAGTGCCACGTCATATCCCTCTGGGATCCTCTTGATCAGAGAGGAGAAAATGTCACTAGAAAGAGCAGTGCTGAAACAATGCACTTTGCTTGGTTTAAAAAGCCCTCAAATCTTAAATGTCTGGGCACTTCTGTAACATAAAATCCCACTTTTCCTCCTGGGTCAAGTGGACTGTTGGAGGGTGCACCTAGAATGAGTTTTCTCTGAAGTCACGCAGTGCCACACACTCACCTTGCACACCCACACCCACACATCCCACACACACACATCCCACACACACCCCACATGCTGCTACAGTGTCTGTCCGAGTGTCACAGGCTGCGTTCTCTGGGTGAAGGAGCCCCTCTGCTCTTCCTTCCTTGCTGAAGGTGAAGACAACTATGCCAGGATATTGGAGATAAACTCGTTGAAGCGTTTCGAGTACTGCTCGGGGTTCACGGTGGAGATCTCTGCCCCGGCCTGCAAGGCAGAGACAGAGCAGTCAAACACCCTCCTCTGAGGGCCAGGAGGGATGGCAGGGAGGGATCATGGCAGCTCTGCTGGGAAAGACCCACAGCAGTGTGCAAGTTCTAGAGAGATCCCCAAGGAAACTGCTTTTAGCTCCAACTGCGTCTTCAGACCACGGAGACAAAGCACTGCCTTTGTTTCCTCGTGGTTTACAGGAGATCTAGAAGGAGCATAAAGAAATCATAATGACTGGAGCTGGGCCAGGGGAGGGTTAGGCTGGATATTAGGAAAATATCTTCTTTCCCCAAAGGGTGGTGGGGCACTGACCAGGCTCCCCAGGGCAGTGGGCACGGCCCCAAGGCTGCCAGAGCCCCAGGAGGGTTTGGACAACGCCCTCAGGGACACGGTGAGATTGTTGGGGTGTCCTGGGCAGGGCCAGGAGCTGCACTCCATGATCCTAATAGGTCCCTTCCTGCTCCTTCTATATAAACTCCACATGGTGGTGGTGGTGGGTTGATGGTTGGACTCGCCGATCTTAAAGGTCTTTTCCAACCTTAACGATTCCACGATTCCATGTCCTGCTATAACCTGGGCTTTTTTCAAGCCCTTTTGGGCAGCTCAGCATTGCTGCCAGTGAACAGGAGCGGCCCCCCTGCAGCCAGTGAATTCCTGCACCTCCCAAACTGGGATGGAAATACAAATCATCCCCAGCCAGCCAGAGGGAAAACCTTTGTGGGACAGTGACGAGGGGAGAGCTGCTCCTGTGCAGAATTTCCACACTGGGAGGAAAATCAGTGCCAGGAGACACCCCCACACACACACAGAGGGCCATGCAGGCAGAAGCCCCCCAAGGCCATGCCCCTGCCCCTGCCAGGCTTACCCCGTGTTTCACTGTTTTGGCAGCATGTGCAGCTTTCTTCTTCGCGTCGTAGGGCGTGAGGATGTCTATGATGGCCATGAAGTAAACTTCCTTCTTGGGGGCACCTGGCAAGGCAAGAGAGTCGCTGGCACCCCCTGAGCAAAGCCCAGTTCCGCCCCCCTCCTCCACAGACACCCAGCAGAGCTGGCAGGGAGAGCAGAGCAGCTGGAGGCTGCAGGAGGGCAGGGAACACCAGCGGGCCAGCACACCAGAAGCATCACTTCCACCCGTTCCAGCTCAGCACAGCGAAGGGGAGGGACAGTCCTGCCACTGCACCGAGCCCAGGGCACCTCCTGTGCCCACCACAGCTCCCCCACGGCCCCACAACACTCACTTTCGTGGCTTTTCATGGCGTAGACGTCGACGGAGGGGTCGAACTCGCCGGGCCCGAAGAACCGGGGGTAGTTGAGGAGGTTTCCGGGGCTGTCCGGGGGGGTCCCGTAGGAGGAGATGGGGTTTCCCCCCAGACCATCGTTCTCACACTCCTCGTCCTCTGCCCGGTCCTCCACTTCCATCTCCTCCTGCTCTGCCCGGTCGACGTCGTGGATCCCAACCAGCAAACTGTAATCCATGATCTTCAGCTGAGCTAGAAACTGGGGGAGAGAGAGGAGTGAGCACGGCAGCCACGTGGGATCAGAAATCCTCAGTCCTGCCCTGCCAGCGCCTCCCTAAGAAAGGGCTGTAGAGTGAGAGCCAAACCCTTTTCAGACTCCAGAGAATCTACACACGAGCTCCCAGGTCCACTGCCCTCAGCAGGAGCCTGACTGACCCAGGAGGGACTCGCTCTCCAGGCACTGCTGCACCCCTGGAGCCAGAGGCCACAGTGAGGATCCAGCCATGGGAGGCAGAGGAAGAGCCGTCCCCCGGGAAACTACCTCCACGTCCCGCTTCAGCTTCTCAAGGAAGTTCTTTTTACTCTCTTCTCCAACATGCAGCTTCTGACCCTCATTCAAGAAGTCGTTGTCTTTGAACGTTGGGAGATCCTTGGCCTGCAACGAAAAGCCTGTGTCAAATTCTTCAGCCCTGGGGGAAGGGCTGGACCATGGATCCCTCAGAAATCAGAGAATCACAGAATCAGCTGGGTTGGAAGGGACCTCCGAGATCATCAAGTCCAACACTTGATCCACTACCACTGTGGTTCCCAGCCCCTGGCACTGATGCCACATCCAGTCTCTTTTTAAAAATCTCCAGGGACAGAGAATCCACCACTTCCCTGGGCAGCCTATTCCAATGGCTGAGCACCCTCTCTGGGA